TGGACATGTATTTCGAATTAATAATAAGTTATTCTTTTAATTTAATTCTCATCGTTTTATTTGCTACCGAATTCCCCAAAGGCTGGCTTCGATTAACAATCACATTCAATTGAATTAAAGTAATTGTTAATATTGACAGTGCATGGATTTTTGACATTGTACAATATAAGTTACTGAGATGTTGTTTCACTGGGATGTGGATTACTGTACTTCAATACTCTTGTAGCTTCCATTACCGACATGGCTTGTGTTTGTATATGAGATCATTTACGTCTATTTAACATTTGGCATCATATGAAAGAGACGCTGCACCAGTTTTTAAGGTCACACAAGAGTCTTTTCAATCTGCAATTTCAATGACATATCATAGCTCAGTATACAAACAAACATTGGTGATCAATTTTCTTTTAGATGAATGGATATATAATATTACGTCATTGATCGGCAAACATTCACATGTATAGTCAATAGTGGTGGCTGTCAAATTAATAGCATTCCTTCGATATTATGGTCTGATTCATAACTTATAATTCCTGATTCCACCACGTCATTTACAAGATGTCTACGGTATGCTGAAATCAATGTTGGCGTCGATTGTTGACAAAACCGCTACATCCACCATTTGATAAACCGAACCGATGACGATTCTACTGCAGTGTCTGAATGAGAAATCTCATCTCAAGCAATACTCAGATGTGAGAGTATAAGTCTTACAATAGAACACACAATAGTTTGACCGTCCTTTGGTATCACAATAATATCATTAAGGGAAAGATTTTTTGGTGTGGTGAGAAATTAGATGTGCACATGTCAGTACGCATAATGATTTGGGACGTTACTTACTTGTATTGACCCATATATGAATCGTAGATGTCGTCGATGAAGAAGACCGCATCACATTTATCATTTCGTAACATCTGGTCATATTATTTTGATGATTTTGCTGGGGTAGCAACGCAGATCTTTCATTTGTTCATATCAAATTTGAGTTTAACTGCTGATTCTGTTTTGCAATTTCATTGTTATTTATATATTTTTTTGTTAACTTACAAAATAATTTAATCATACCACGCCACATTTTGTCATTTGATATCAAAATGAAAAGGGTCTGCAATTCTATAAATAACAACATGTCAACACAGTAATATTCAAACTAAAATTCAACAAAACTAGGGCAAAATATAAACAAAAGAAAGATTTACATGAATATTCCTGGAAGAAGTAAAAGGAGAATAACACCACTATTTCCAGAAGTGTAAGCTTCATTGACGACATCCACGAGGTAAATTTATGTCAATCCGAGTAACTAATGACAAGTTCCCAAAAGAGACCACTGTAAACAACAACGAAAGCAAGAGGTAAACTTATGAGCATCAAACGTTCAACTTCATGTCACATAATGAAATATGATATTTCAGATGAGATCGCAATAGTTTTCCAGAAAATAAAAAGTCCAAAATATGTTTCATGAAGTTTCATATCAAATGAAGTCTTATGATATACTAAATGGAATTATTCTATTCTATTGTTTTTGCGAGGGTCGTTAAAGGACTTTCAAGTTTTGGAGGAAAGCTGGAGTTCCCAGAGAAAAAACATCGACCTGATGCCAATACCTGTTGACAACGTGGGCCTGAAACCCACAACCGGTAGGTGGAAGATAAAACGCTCAGACGCCTTAACCTCTCGACCACCACCGAAATAACGCAATGACAATTTTTTTAAAAGTCACTGTGACACATGATTTAAAGTCATATCTACGTCGTTTCAAAATAAAAACTCGCAAAGACAGGTGTTTGTGTACCTTTTATTCATGCCAAGCATAAATACATTTCGTTTATTTGTTTGAACTGTTCAAGCACTTGCTGTCACACAACCACTGTTAATATCATGTTTTTGTGTGTATTTATATAATTCCATTTCAATATATCAATACATATACAGTTAACACCTAGGTACTTTCTTCAATGGGGTATTAAGAAGCTTATCATTTTCTATAGAGCCTCTGTAGGTAACGCATTCCAATTCTCGTTGATACTCATTGGCAATAATTTATGAGGACAATGATTCAAATATCTACAACGGAGATATTACATTTCATCGGAATTAACCTGGAAATAAATTTTATTCAAAATATACATTTTATACATTTCACTGTAAAAGTACATGTCTCGTCGGTAATTTTGTTTTAAAAATTGAAAATGTTGCATTAAAATATAATGCCGGTAATAGCAGCTTCTGTATACTGTTTTTTTTTCTCTTATATATGAGGATGTGTCATTTTTGAGTTAATTTGTTAAAAAAATCATATTGTGCCAATGTTTTATTGTCCCGATATTTCATTGCGCCCAAATAAGTACGCTCACTCACAGGGACATGGAATAAAGTTCAACACACGGTACATAGATATGGATTAAAGTGACTAGGGTTGTGACATCTGAAAACTGAAAACTGAATATAATTTCAAAAATAATGATTTTTTAAAAATATTTTAAGGACCGTAGATCTTGGGAACTAATTGTAGAAATGACTAGGTAGACATTTGATTGTCCGTCTGAAACGTCCTCTTTCTCTAATGGACACCTCAATAACTATGACGAAATCTCCGTGACCGTGTCTTCACGGCATGTTCTGTAATTATGTTGTGTCTCTTACACAAAAAAAGCCTTGTATAGGCTCCATATTAACATCAAGGTGCACACTTTCTTCCACATATTTTCTTTTTGTCCGCTATGACAAGCGTGCGCCGTACCGAAATTTAGACCGGCCTCAAAACCCAGTCGAGGATTATTGTGAGAAAAAAATCTCGATAACCGAAAATAAAAATATATAATTTGAATTTTATTATTTCAATATTGGAAATATCTGACACTATGAATGAATTTATTACCTTTCCTTATTTGTTTATATATGTATCGGCGATTTGTATTTTTCACAAGGACGCATCACTCAAATGTGGTATTGTAACGAATACCTCTAAACAGAGGCTAAAATAAAGTTTAAAATTCGTCTTCTTTTTCTTTTGTTCTGGAAGATATTAATTATAACACTGGACTGGGTGTTGGGTTTTTTTTTATGTTGTTCACTCTCGTGTGTTCCAACCCTTGTCATTGTAATACATATAAATGGGCCATCGGTTGCGAATTCATTCTATGTGGGTTATTTGAGGTAACAGACGAATAAATTCCACAGATTTAGTGCTGTAAAGCTGCATCAGAAAATGTACACGATATCTCAGCATCCTACCTTATTGGTTGTAGTGGCGCATACTGACAAAGCGTTTAGTGTTTTCAAATTGAAATGTTCATTTCGGAATCTGGTTATTGCATATGCCACGTAGACAAAGCTGATACCGTAAATTATTTGGCGACGGCTTATCATATAAATTCGTTAGATAAATTCGTTAATCAATGAAAAGGTGAAAAATCTCAAACTTGAATCCATTCTCAAAATTGCAAAGGTGAGCCTACTCACAGGTTCCCGAACATATGTTATATGTTGATGAAATGAAGTCGAGAACTTCATGTTAGTGCCACTATCCAATATCTACATCGTTTTGATGCTTGCCACTTTTATCAGGGATACAATAACCAAGCATTATACATAATTACACAAAGCACTGAATTGCATGTTAGTCTTTGGATATTCAAAGTAAAAATTAATTCGAATTTCAAGGTCGGCTGCAAGCATGTTCAATTAAAAGGCATTTGCCAGCTATGTTTTGATGGTTTGTTTATTAAATATCATTGTAACGGCATTATCCTGTGAGCAATAAATCAGTGCCATATCAAACATACAATATGACAGGTTGCTTTATTATTAAATCATAAAATAACATCTTATGAAAGCACTCTGCAGTATTTTTTTATGGGAGAATGGAAGCACGTGTTACAATATGATAAAATTAGAATAATCTTAAAATGTCAATCTCCGATATCATTTAATTAATATTGGATGGTTGCCAATTTTGGTACACTCGACGACAACTCATTTATCAGCTATTTTTGCACGGAGACACTTGAGGTCAGCTGCATATAGCATGATATTCAAAACATAAGAGTATCAAAATTGGGAGATGTAAAATAAAAAAATCTTGTTACATGTAAAGTTCTTACAAGCTTAAATCTGGGATGAAAGTTGCAAAACAGGTATCAGGTCTTAAGAAATATGTTTAAAACATTTTGGAAAACTAAAAAAAAGTATGTCTAGTCTACTTCTTACATCAAGTACCTTTAGTGAACATTAAAATAAACATCAATGATCACCACCAGATAGGGACAATGATCTACACTTGTCAAAAAACAGACCCTACCAGATCCTGTAGAGGAAATAATCTCAGCACTTAAGTCACTAAGCGCATTTTATATCTTAATAAACTTTTTAATGAGATCACTCGTAAGACTTTTATCAAATACTGAAGAAACAATCAAGAATATACCTATACCAAGCATGCGATACTCAAACATAGAGAAAGTCCTTTTGACTGAAATGAAGTTAATAAATAGCTGTATACATTTAAGGTGCAAACAAACGGTGGCGATTATTGTTGTTCAACATAATATCATCTTAATATAAAAGAATGTAATTAACAACAAAAGTCCATATACGTACCAATTTCGTAAACGTTTCCACTCACACTCTCAGAACATTTCATAACTACTGCAGTAAAACACTCTTTCGGATTACTCTTTTCTCTTAGACATTTCAAGCAAAGGTTGATACTTCTTGTTTACACGTCAAATCCCATTTAGGTTATGTTTATATCAATATATTCGAAGTTAGATTAAGGTTTTCTAGATGTCGATAAATAGCAAATACGTAACATTTGTCATACAGTTGTTAAACTACTTACTATCTAAATATGATTTTGATGACACATGGGCGGAGTTTGATGTGTCTGAAAAAATGGGAAAACTGATAGTTTTAAAAATAAACATGAAAACAAATAGTGATGCAAACTAGGAAATATCATTCAAACAATCACATCTTTAATATAAACATAATTAGGTCTTATTCAAATCGATCTCTTTAGTCATAGGGCTGATAACAAGAATAATGAATGATGAAATGAATGTGATACTAAGGAACAACCAAAAGAAGAACTTGTCCATCACTCTGGCAACCTCCTGCCAATCGTGTATCGTTCGCCGTTCTGTCACCGTCTGCTCGTATGATGACATAACGTGTTTAAAATAGGTCACAACTTCTCGATCAAAATTAGTTCTATTTGCCGTTGGTGACGACATATTGATATTTTGGTTCATTACGTCGTTGAGAGTATCATCACTGACGTCACCGAGGTCCCCGTGGATTTTTTCGTGTTTACTGTTGAGAAGAAGGGATTCACTATCCCTCGCTTTGAAGGCTGCGTAGGCAGAATTCGACGTGTAACTACCGGTGTGAGGTGTATATGAACTTTCATCCTGAAATTGAACCTTTAAACAAAGCATCTTTGCTAAAATCAGAACTATTCCTTTGAGAATCCTTGGTGGTCCCTTGGACAAAGCTCCCTTATGGTGGATATTTAGAACAAAAACAGAAAACACTACAGACAGACCACTCATAGCCATAATCACGGTGAGATAGATACCTGAAAATAAAAACAAAAGAATTAAATGAAAGAGAACATGTAGGGTAACTGTATGAATATAACGAAATATTTAAATAAATACATCACATAAATACAAATATATACGAAAATGTTTAATTATGCTGTTTGGGTTTTCGTTTGGTTTAATATTTTCTTGTTGCCGTCATCATTGTTATTGCTTTTTTTTTTTTTTTTTTTTTTTGTGGTTGTTGACGTCGTTGTGGTTGCTATTTTTAGTTACGTTGTTTTTGTTGTTGTTGTTGTTGTTTTTGGTGTTATTGGTGACGCCGTTTTTGATGTTGTTGATGATGCTCTAAATGGTACCGCTGTTGTTTTTAGTATTATTTTTTACGCCTTTTTGTTGTTGTTGATGTTGATATTGCCGCTGCTGTTTTTAGTGTTATTTTTTACGCTTTTTTGTTGTTGATGATGTTGTTGATGTTACCGCTGTTGTTTTTGGTGTCATTGTTGACGCCGTTATTGGTGTGTATAAATATACAATTCATCCCATGATAACCTATTATAATAGGGATATCACAGCAACGACGAGAATTGAAAATGAAGTGGTAACGTTTTCATACCAAACGCACGCGTGAGCGATCTTTCCATGTTCGAGTAAAGTCATCTATACTGAAAGGATAAAGAAACGCAGGGTAATATTTATTCCGATATTTTGAAAATGCGTTCTCCAAATAAAGTGAAACTTTGTGGATTGAGTAATTATGTTATATTACACCTTGTCGTGTATCGAAAATTTAGTCACGGTACAGTGCGCAGCTCTGGTAAATGGAGGAAGGAAAAAACAATAATCTCGTGCACCGTGTTGTTCTGGTCTCATGCAGCGTTGGTCAAGTCACTCTTCGTTAGTCTTTATACAGACCAACTGCTTCTCTAAAATTAATTGAGAATTTGATTCGTTTTAAGAATGGCACGTCTCATAGAAGTTCAGACGGGTCAGGCCATTCAGATGCTGATGCAAGGACAGCTGCAAAATCAGGTTGCTAGGCACTTTGGTGTTAATGTTTCCACCATAGAACGTCTTGTAAGACGTCTTCGGGAAACTGGGCGGTTGGCCGATCGACCTAGGTCAGGACGTCCGCGCGTAACGTCACGACGTCAGGATCGCTATATTGTCGTCTCTCATGTGCGTAATCGGCGCCTTACTGCCGTTGAGAGTGCACTTAATGTTCGTGGAAATCATGGGCGTCCTATAAGTTCAAAAACTGTAAGGAATCGATTACGAGAAGTTGGTGTAAGAGCACATTGCCCCTACGTAGGTCCACACCTTACCCCTGCTCGACTTCAGCGTCGTATGGCCTGGGTCGCTGCACATGCTCCACGACGGTTTCCACTGAGACAATGGAGACAAGTTTTCTTCACGGACGAGTCTCGATTCTGTCTTTATCGATCTGACCCCATGTTATCCCTTTCTTACAGCAGCATAATCTAACCCTCCAGCAGGATAATGCTAGGCCCCACGTAGCAAGGATTTGCCAAGTCTTTCTGGCCAACAACAACATTCAACCACTAGATCAGCCGCCATATAACCCTGATTTGTCCCCGATCGAGCATCTTTGGGACCAGTTGGATAGACAGGTTCGAAAGCGCCAGCCACCCTCTGCTACTCGAGAGCAGTTGACCAGAGCTCTGATTGAAGAGTGGGACAACATCCCCATAAGACGGATTAACGCTCTCATGAACTCTATGACCAGAAGGGCCGTGACCACAGCACACGGCGGACACACAAGATATTGATGAGTTCAATTTCAATTTCAAAATCCTATGGGTCCATTCAAATTAATCGTTAGTACCTCTAAACCAATTGTCAGATGCAAAATACAGACTTTTGAAATTTTTAAGCTTTAATTTATCTGTAAGTATACAAAATTTCGTTTTAAATGAAGCCCGAAATCATACTCAATTTCTGGTTTAAAGTTCACCCTGCGTTTCTTTATCCTTTTAGTATATATACAATTATCTTTCCTGTGACAAAAAGAGCCGTGCGCATTTCAATCAGTTGAGATTAAGAAGAACGAATACGACATTGACAAGGCAATAGACGCTTAATTATTCTTTCATCACTTCATTGTGCAATACTCCTCGTTTGAGATGACAATTTTAACTTATTGATTTACCGGTATGTCTGTGTTCAAAACCGTATGTATAAACGCCGTCAAAGCACGCATGATTCAGTATTTGCCGACACTGGTGTGTTCGCCCTGACACAGAACTCTCACATTGTCTGACAAACAAAGGACATCTTTTCAATGTGACCCATTTTCATTACCGAGGTTTACGGAATGTGTTCACACATGTACGTTAAACATTAATTCTAATTAGTGAGACGTCGATTATGGATGCGAGGATGTGATTTAAAGTAGATGTAGATTTCATCGGCCTGATAGCATATGGGGCACTAGGCCATCATCCAATCAACAACGTGAAAGCTTACCTTCGGGACAATTTAGTCCATATACAAATCTTACAGCCTTGAGACAAGCGACAACCGTCCTAATAGTCTACAAACTCAATTACCTCTCATACAACTAGGCGGTATGAGAACAAGCTACTATCACGTAGCTTCGAAATGCATTTTGAATTCATATTTCAAAATTAAAATCATACAATATTTACTATGATTCTGACGTAGTTCAGGGTATTTTGTACAAAACTCTAAAAAAAGTTTCTATCGGAGTTCCCTTTCATTGATTACATGGGTACACTTAATCCACGAATTTATATGTCCAAGGACTTTTAAAATCATTATATCTCGTGAGCTGTATAGGTCAACGAAATCAAGCGTCCCCGAAATAGCTTTAACTTCCAGAACAACCTATACGCTTATATTGATAGTCCAGACGGAAGAGTACGATGTGTTTTCTTATTGGAGTAACGGTGGAAAAACAAAATGGTCGGGAAGACGCTCTATCCATTTTGACGTCTGGTCAACTTGGTGAAAGGTGTGTGTGTTCACACCACCGAGCGACCCGATCAACAAAAAGGTACACTATATATTTACATGACAGTGTTGGCCAAGCTAGTAGTATATTGATTGTCAAATGTCAACGGTTTATTGACTCTGACTTGAGCTGAAGCAAAAACATTCAATGATCGAATCGAATTGCATAACTTTTAAAATCGATTGTTTAAAGAACAGAAATTCCAAATCACACAGCAAGTTCATTTTAGAAAGGATTATCTCTTCTACCCAACGGATATTATTGTTTGTCGAACTCTACATTTCGTTTGATTTGACTCATAACAATTGAACGACTCAAAGATAGCAGCTATGTCAATATGAATCATTAGGGGTGATATATAACAGAACGACGTCCGTCAGTATATGTAACTGTACGTGTCTGTTTACACTTATCATTGAGTCCAGACAGTAAAAAACTCACAGCACAAGGTTTCGAGAGAGATACAGGTTTGTGAAGATTGTAGAGAAATTATGTGGTCGTCATAATACCCTCATTGGTTCTAAACTTCTTTGTATTCACAAAGATTTACATGGCAGATGTCGTCTTTATAGAAGAAGACGCTTACCATTCCGGAACTTCGGGTTTTATTCTCCTTGTATGTTTGGCAGGAGTAATAACTCTTTTTGTCATATTTATCCTAGTTTCATCGAATTTGTTTTTTTAATTATGATAACGTTTGCTCTTCGGTATTTTCTTTGTTGTTACTTATTGTTGCATGCAAAAGACGCCATTGGTAAATGATTACCCTGTTGGTTTCCTCTCCACCGGTATTTCTAGACTGTGAATTTCCGTGTTACTATGTTAGTATTATAACTATTGCATCTGTCTGTGCGACGGGGACCATACATGAACTATCAATTCAGATTACTTGTGGACATTTTGCATTTTCAATCAAGGCGACTTGAAGAGAATGTTTACCTTTTGAGAATAAACCGATCACATTTCATCAGCAAATCCATATTTCAGCATAAAGTTCATTGCTTGAGAACTAAACACGGTGGCGGCAAATTAAAAAAATGGAATCCTTCTGACTTGTAAAATCGATATTTATTTTGAATATCAAAGAAATTTGAATTGCAATTCAGCTTTTTTAGTAAAATCCTTATTTTTTAATTGATATCAATGCGTTCCCCATGGAATGTGCAGTTTGTAACGTGATTAATAATTCTACGAAATACTGTTAATTAATTTAAATTCAAAGGAACCACAAATAGTATAAAGATTGTTCCGACAAAAATGTAGTCGGCAGGTGGAGCTCATAATGCTTGGAAATTGCAACGCAGTTACCAAATTTCAGTCTTAACCGAATACAAGTTTTGGTTTAAATATAAACCTTGTTACACTTGTGTAAGCCTCACATAGGCGTAACGTCGGAATTTCTACATATGTTTTCATGCTTTTTTGTTGTTATTGTCTCAGGTCTCGATGTCATCAAACAATATATTTACATTCATCTATTGCCTATCATACAACAATGAATGTACATTACTCTCATGGCCTCTTCAACTAGCATGGTAAAGGTTTTCGTTATCTTCTAATAACGCTCCAAAATTAAATGCATCACAGTTACGAGTCTCATTAAAGATTTTAAATCTTTAAGGTTTCATGAAAGTGTGCTTCAAATTGGATATATATTTCCACGGAAATCATTTAATGGACTATAGATTACAATATTTTTTTTATTTTCAAGGTGTCTCTTTTTCGCGATTTCATCCCATCAATGAAAATTAACCCTCGAAAATAAACCAACACATTTCATTCCATACTGAAGGAATGCCTTAACTTTCTTATTACGTGAGCTTCCTTTTCCAAGAAAGGTGAAAGGCGATATGAATATATGGTTTTGAGGTATACTGAACCGTATTTTGTAAACAAAATACGTCCAAATCACAGAAGAAATATACGGAGGACGAAATAAAAAAAAATGACTGAGTTTCTGGTTGACAACATTTTCGTTGAGTTTGGCGATAAGATCTTTCCACATGGGAACTAACTGCGCCCTTCTGTTGACGTACTTGCTTTCGTTTCCATACGAGGCTGAAAGTATTTAAGAGCTTATCAAAATAGGTCTCAAGTTGTTTAATTTTACTTTCAGTTATATTGATGACGTCTTGTCTTTGAATAATAATAAATTTATTTATCACGCCCATCGTATATACCCATCAGAATTGGAAATCAAACGTACAACAGATTCTTCTATTTCAGCTGCTTATCTCGATCTTTTCCTATAACGAAATCAATATTGACAGCTTTCCACCAATCAATTCGATAACCGTGATGATTTCAATTTCCCTGCAGTGAATTTTCTTTTCTGGATAGCAATATCCCTGAATCTCACACCCATGGTTTACCGATAGTGTTCCTTTAAGTATGACACAAGTATGAATCAATTTTACCTATTTATTTTCATTTTTCAGCTATTATTAGCTATTGTATATTTTGCGCAATATTTACCAGCAATGGGCTATTATAAGGAGTTTTTTTCCAATATGCAATATAGCATATGGTTTGTTGGCAGCTTTGACTGTTGTACAGTAGTGCTTACACGAGTAAGGCTAGCTTTACGACCATTTTATAGAGCTATTTCGCTGAAATGTCATGCCACATGCGTAGTTGTTTGGCACCAGCTCATTATTTATTATATTATATTGACAATATAAAATTTCAAGAACAGGGGTGAAATGTGACCTTAACACCTGGTGCTAAAGGTTCATTGGATAGCTTCAACAGTGGAAACAGATATTTAAAAGAATTTTTTAAAATTTGTACTGAAAAATGTTATCCATTTACATGTACTTTGTAGTCTTCCTATCGCCTTTCGGCAGGAATGTCGTATTGTTTTCTTACATATAATGTATCTTGACATATCCTACGATTCCTATAACCACTGGCAAAAACAGATTACCCCTTTCATATAGCAGTATAAATATTACATGAATGCCAAGAGCTTAAAATCTGGAATGGTTGGAACAAATCATTTATATGAAGTCACCAGTTATCGATTGGATTTGTCACTTGTCAAGAACATCCAGTAGTCGCATTGTTTTAGAAATAGTGAATACATCAAATAAATGAAGGCCATGTTGTTGTTTGCTGTAGGCGACATCGGGTGACTCAGAAAGATAAACATTTGTAGATCATATTTTTTGTATTATGCTTACAGCAGTTATATGTTTCTCCAACGTCATTGCCAGGAACCGAGTATTAACTAAATCTATATCAATATGCTTCATATGAAAGATGAATTATATCCAATACATAAGCTCCAAGCTGGGTTTTGTAAGGTTCTTTGTGGGTATGTAGGATGCAACTACAAGACGTTGACCAATTTTTGTTCTCATCGATCCTTACATTGATCTATAGGCAATGATATGGGTATGTAAAATAAAACAGCACATATACTTCACCTGAAGTACATACCGTGATTAAAATCCAACAACAACCATGGTAGGCGTAGCATCAAAGGTGAAATCAATTATCCAGATGTATCCATCAAATCAGAAACGGTGCTGAGTTTTAAGCGTTGGTACACGTAATTAAGAATTGCATTATAAGTAAAACGATATTTCCCATGGGTCGGATCGGTATATCTTTTACTTTGTATTGTGTGTTATAGGCGTAACCATTGGCCTATCATAGTACAAGAGCACCGAGAAAACCCTTATATTATATAAATATATATATGTATATACTGCATGAACAAGGAAACTGGTTAAAAAAAAACAATTCATAGTTTTAAACAAAGAATCTCTACTGTGAATATATTCTAATGTCATTTGAAATACACACACTATTAGTATACGTGTTTATCCTAAAGTATATCAGATATAACGATATTGTGTTGTAAATATTTGCACTTGTTTAATCTTTAAATGCTTTAAGCCGTACATCATCAATATGAATGCATTTGAATATGAGACGGTTCTTAGATTATTTATTTTATTGTAGTAAAATGTATGAATGATTTTGCTGTAATTAACGAAAATATCGTGTTTTTTTCAATATGACTCAAATTATCGTTCACATGACTCCGTCATTCAAACGTCATCATGAGGGATATAATTTTTGGCGATATAAATAAATAAATAAATTTGCATCGTAATGAATAGAAAACGGTACGCAAAATCATGTTTTCTTTCTCTTTTCAGGTTTGGCCAGTTTCATTGAAGCTGAAATAAGCCTCTATCGACATGTCGATATTTGCTTCGTTGTTTTTGCATTATCTCTTCTGGCCCTGGTCTCTCAGTGTTATCAAAAGTTTTCCTTCACTTTAACAAGCTATCAACATTTTTTACTTTAAGCCTGAAGATTACATAGAATACAAATTGCAAAACTATAAGCCTAGCGATACGTGGTAAAATGGTATATTTATGGAAATCCTGTTATTTGTGGTCTTGAAATTAGAATGCAGACATGCAGATTTGCTTTTCGATTTAAAATGCTTATATATTTCAAATGATGAACCGAATAAACGTCATTCACTCTCAAAGTGAATCCAACGCCACAAGGTTTGGTTTCATCCACATTCTTGTAGTGTGTTCTATGAAGTCACTATCTATTGAAGAACACATTAACAGAATCAGTTGGTTTCTTCTATAATTGCTTCCTTTAGTCTTATCTTGCATAGTAACTGAGCTATGCCAGTATCTAGAATCGACCATTTGGTCTTAGCAAGTAAAAGTAACATACAATATAAAAATACTCAAAATGTCGCGTTAAAATGTCAATCCTTCGTCAATTCCTGTTAAACAGCGCTTGCGTTTTGGAAACAAGCAAAGGGGAATATGTATCTGTACAAAACGAAAAAAATGTGATGTTTTGATTACAGATATAAATGCAACGTAAAAGAGACAAATTCAACATTTCTTTAAAGTGACATGTGAAACATTGTAGTCAAAACATAATGTAACGTTCACTAGGTACTCATTTTACATACCGAGAACATATTAATATATACTTATGTTAAGTTTCTTTTCGATGAATAGCATATCTTTTAACCGATACTATATCAACACTGTTTATAATATATTACAATTGCCGCTTTAACATCTAATTTTGTTTCAGTATTTGCGTCTAAAAAGCAACAAGAAAATACCAACATGTCAACGTAATCATATTCCAAACTCAAAGTTAATAAAACCAGGGGAAAATATGAACAAAAGAAAGATTTACACGGAGACTCCTGAAAGAGTACTATGAGAATAGGACCAGGTGTTACGGAAGAGCAAGTTACATGGACGACAATCACCATGTAAACATTGGTCAATCCAAGTACCTAATGTCACATTTTCAAATGAGAATATGTATACAGTAACTTAAGCAACAGTCAAACTAACGTACATCAAACAAGTCCAGCTTCATATCGTACAAAGAAATATAATATTTCGCAATGAGATCACTATGACGACCGTGAAGCTTCTCCATAATTTTCATCAACCTGCATCTTTTGAAACTCTGTAATAACTGTGTGTCCGTCAATTGAAGACTTCTTGTATGAAAATCGTGACAATGGAAACGTTCTTGAATTTCGATTCAACTGTGACATATAAACACCGTCGGTTGAAAATGCAGGGTGTTACTATCCAGAAATGGAAAATGCACTATAGGGAAATTACAATCATAACGTTTATCATACAGCTTGCGGAAAGCTGTTCATGTTGGTTTTGTTGTAGGAAAACATCGATATAAGCGGCTGGTATAGAAGACTCTGTCGCGTCTAGGATTGCCAATGTAGAATTTGACTGTGTCATACACTTCTACTCTCTTGGAACAAAGTAAATCATGCCTACAGATTAGCTTGATGAACGCTAGTGTAAAATGCACACAAAATACTATAGTTATTCTCTGAAACGATATATTTTTCATTTCAGAATACCTTATTGTCATGATTTTACTGACAAAAGGAATGGTGCAACAGGTACAGTCTGTAGAATCTCTCCTTGCTATTATAAACTAATATACACATCAGTCAAATATCAAATGAACACAGTGATAAGTACTGAATAATACCATTGTAGTGGTAAGGATATCACCCAATGACTGGGACAAGAATCGGTCCGAAAGTCAACTTGCATGAAATGTAGGAAAGGCAAATTGTCCATAGATATTCACCCTCATTTGCTGAACCCAAACATATAACGAACAGACAAATCCTGACAACAATGTATGAACGGGATATTTACTTTAAAAAGAAGTCTGTTATCAGTAATGAATCTCTGAATCAACTCAAGAATGGAATTATTCGTAACTTCATCTAGCTCATCCATTTAGAAATGTTTGAATGTTTAGAGGATTACGATCCCTCAGGTCATAAAGAGAAGTAAAAAGGAGTTGTCTTTGGTTTGTGAAAAGAAAAGAATTTCTCAACTGACATAAAGTTTACATTAATTTTCCTGTCTCTAGTTAACAATACAAAGCAAATGCACCAATGTTCGTCATCTGCAATAGGCTGAAAGAAGACATCTGTTTTCATTGCACTAATGAGCGACATTGTGGCAAACAGACAAGATGGGTTATTTCATTCATGAAACGATATATCTATAATATTACAAGTGTAGAATTTTGTTCTATCAACTTGCATCGAACTTTTGTATGTCTGATAGTACAGTTATTCGTTAGATGTTTTAAAACAAAATTGTCACTTCATATAATATGTTACATAGCGTAACTTAAGCTATATTTGTGGCTTTTAATTATAATATTTATTTTTTTCGAAGAAATGTGTCCTTCTATAGGTTATCTAGGTCTGTATGGTAATTCTATTATGACATATACATAGTGACAAAATCTCATCTTAATGACTCCACAATGAAATTGTTCAGGATCAGGGTGCTTATGAGATATCTCATTGCAAAATTAAACTTACCAATTAAGGGTATGTATTCCGACGTTGGAGGCATATTCTCAGCAATTAGTAACATGAAGACAGAGAAAGCCAGAAGCACAGTTAATCCTAGAGTGACTTTTTCCCCCGAGTCTGGCGGAAGTAGAAATCCTGTCAGAGTGAGGCTTGATAATAACATACACGGGATTATGACATTAAAGGCATAATATAACACACGACGTCTTAAATGGATATAGAATGTTACATCCGGAAATGGTTCCGGGCAGCATGGGTAATATTTCACATTGCGGACTACCTTTGTATCAATGAGCGTCCATTCTCCGTTATCGACGTAATTTGACGTATCGACCTCCATGGTTCTATTTGTGACGTCAACCTGAAATCCGTCGTATGCCCAAGATCCCATTTTTAGTTTACACACTTGATCGTCAAATGGAAAATATGTGATATCCATTTTGCACGAACTACGCATCCGCACAATAGGTGGCCAGAAAACATTTCCATTTTGTTCCACCATTGCCAAGCTTTTCATATATCCCTTGTTATGGTTGTCAACACTGCAAAATAGAAACAAGTTCAAGTAAATTTCAGAATTATACATTTATCAAACAATATCATTCTTGTTTTATAATATATACGACCTAAAGTATGGGACTATTCATGTTTTAATCTGGGCTTACCTCCGTTCGCTTTAGTTTAGAAAAATTTTCAATGACAACTCAAAAGGATGTATAGGAATGTTTTAGGCACCTAACGAATCTATACACAATCAATAAAAGATACCGAACCAGAAGTGCTGTATCGTTTCAAAACCACGTGCCCAAAAGGTGTCCTTAAAGTATAGAAATAGTTTTTTGTTAATTTCCTTTGTTCAAATTACCAAAAGAGTTTACTTCATCAAGCAGTGTAGTTAACAAACGAGTTCTATTGGGTATGCAAATATCTATATCGAGGGTAGCAATCATGTTTCTGGAACAGGTCGTGTGCCCGTATTATCATACCAAAAGACACACACAAGTTAATAACATCTTTAGATAGTGAGGCTTGTTCTGAGGAAATCTCTGCCACTCTTGAATCAATGCAGCCCGTAGTTCTCTAATTGTTTGGGGTGTTGGATCATGAGCATTGACTTTTTAACACATGCTCAGTAGGGTTCCTGTATGGTGACATTGTAGGTCATGGGTACGTTTCTATCTCTTCTTGTTGCGGACAGTCTTGCACTAGGCGGGCTTTGTGTGGTTTGCTATCGTCATCCATTAGGATAGGCCGATCTACCAATGGATGGGCATCGAAATGCAGAACAACTAATGCTCGAATGATGTGACCGGAGTGCTTTTGTCGATTTAACGTCCCATCAAGGACATGCAAGGGAAACTTAAGGTTTAGAGAAAAGCATCCCGATATAGTACCACCGCACCTAAAAATAATGCTGTTCCCAAACTGATGGTATATTATATTTCTTGGTCTTCAAAAACAGACCCTGGCGTCTCTAGGACTAACTAAAAAGCCATTTGCATCAGACCAATGGGTTTTTCGCCCAGACTTTATATTTCATGTGCAGTGATCGCGTGTCCATTGCCATCTTGCTTGTTTGTGATCTCCAGTCAACAGAGGACGTTTTACTGGTCGGCGTTAAAACGGTTAAAACGCCTGTTGACGGTACGATGGCAAACGCGAACATTCAACTGTTTTCTGGGTCTGTTGGTAGTGGTTAATGGGGCTCGCCATGCCTGTCTACACAGATATCTTCTCTAGCTGTAGTCTTTAGAGGTCTACCAGACTTGGGATGCTCCTCAACATGCTCGGTTCGGTTCTGACGCTGCATTAATCGAGAAATAACAGTATGCCTGGAAGTAAACCTGCAGCTACTTGTCTGTATGTCATACCACCTTAAATCATTCTAGAAGCAGCTTGAAATCTTTCAGCAATCGCCAATTTTCGATGCGCCATTTTTAAATATGAGCACATGTCTGATTGACATTATGTGTTGTCAGAGTACGGGGTACCCCAGTTTAGTCTGGGATTTTGTTTAGTTGGATTTATCACTTGATAGCATACGGCATCAAACAAAAAATGATATACTGCAAGGAGTACGACAAGGTTTATTTCTTCAAAGTTTTTATTTAAATTTTACAAGCTAAATTTGCTGGCTATGGCCAAGGGTTTATATCAAATTTAGTTTGATCATCAAATATTCAGACATCACTTAACATCAAATATATACTGAACAGATATTGTTATCGTACAGGTAACTCTGGTAATAACATAACGTAGCAAGGTACCCAGACCAATGGAGACTAGTGTAACAAATTAACAGTACTAGTGGATACATTTGACTGAAACCTACATGTAACAAAGTAACCGGACTAGTTGAGGCAGAAGTGGCAAGCTAAACCAGTTCGCGAATACTGAAATACCATGGTAACTAGATTAGCAGAGTCTGACCAAGTAGCCAATAGTAGTGTAGACGGCATTAATAGGGAAATACACGAGACGGAACCCAAGTCAACAGAATAATATTGCAGGCTGTTTAAACAGGTAAACAGCCTAGTGGAGGCAAAGGATACATCCTAACTATTACGTGTAAATCGGGGAAGTGGACAAGTGGTGGCTACATTAACAAATTCAGAGTAAATTAACTAGGTATATAAACTTGAGTTGTATTAAGATAGCGAATGAGACAAATGAAAGTAAAACAAGAATAGACATACAGGACCGGAGGGTACTGCATCAGTAGCGCAGCAGAGCTTGCTGAGACTGAATTAACTACACAACCGGACTTTCCGATTTGGAATTGATGCACATGATGTAGACTAATGGAAAAGAGTGTATAAAATAAAAGATAAAGTTCTTGGAGAAAATTGCAGTCTCATTGGTCGTGCGAAATAAAATCAATGTTTATTGTATGCAGAATGTGTGATTGTGTATGGTCTAGTAATGTAATTTCTGTCACCATTTAAATGGTTAGTCCCACTACCTAGTGTGTTTTTTTGTAAACGCCCATCCAAATATTTGCGAAACACTCCACTTGTAACCAGATAAAAAATGAAATTAAATCAGTGTTTGACATAAATGCAAAACTCTTTAAATAAGCGATCTTTCTAATTATACTATTGGAGATATTGAGAACGAGGTCGGTTTTATTGATAATTTGAAATAAGTCTTAATTCAGTTAATTGATATGATTATACATTTTCAGTGTCAATAAAAAAGTCACCAGCGGAAAGTTGTAATGTTGCCACTACTCTGAACAGTCGTGGTGTAAAGGCGTACGTGATCTCTCTCATACCCATGTACTTCCAGACATCGATCAACTCCAGGAAAGTCTGTCCTATACCTTGTCGTGCTACTCAAGGGACTTTTAACGCACTCGTACTCAAGTTACAGAAAATACATATAGCAGCAATGTAGTCATATTTTAAACCTGCAATGCATTGCAAAATAAATCGGTTTATACAGAGACGAACACATAGTCACAGAGCTAAAACCTTTATCAACAGCTCAATGTTACGGTTCAATCATATGCATTTCTTATCGACGATTGTATTGCAAAATGAAGTTTTGAAAAATGTATGCAAAATTATTTAACATGTCTGTCTTTCTTCAAACTAAATCTATAAAGACAAGAAACAAACTTAACTGTATCAGCACATTTAACTTCTGTGAAAACCTTTAAGTTTAAGTTTTAAATTAAAGATTTTTGTATGTATGAAAGAAATACATATTAATTGATATCCCTTTTCACGTTATAAGAAAGCTGAACGATAAAGCTGCTGAAGCAAAGGAGAGCATGAACCACGTGTTTTAGCTGTAACGTTACTTTATGATTAAACTGCAATATTGGACACCTAATTTATCGTCTCTTTTTATGTCATATTAACCAAGCAAGATAATATGACACTTAAATTTAGGAGTGTCTGAAATTGTTTGTGGAATAAGCTTCAACTGAACAAAATTGATTTTAATAAAACGGAGACATAAAGTCTATCACAATTAAGACGTAAAACAATTAACATAAACAACACTTTATCTACATCAAGAGAGAAAATACTGGGAGAGTCAGTAGCGGATGGTTGCATTTACTTACCACCATCATCTGTTCTATTAGTGTTAGTACATGCTTATTAAGTGTACTTTTGCGTGATGAGACAAATTCTGTATATTCTATCTTGAAATTTATCCTCCACTCGTCCCTTTATTATTGTAGCGGGATACATTAAGAACTACAATCCATTTAACATATGTTGGAATTAGGTACCCTGAGTTGTACAAGCTTTTATCGGTAGTGACCATTTTCTAACCATCCCCTCCCTCGGGACCTCGTGGCGCGGGCAACGTCTTTATCGCTAAACTGGATGTATTTCTGTTCAAAACATGCACGATTTTGACGGATATATGCCGAATTATATAAGACCCTATCAAATATATTTTACCTACATAAAAATTCTACAAAGCCTACAAAGTATGAAACCAATAACATTCCTGAAAGAGAAAATAATTTTGATTTCCCATTAAAGTTTGTACAAAACACACAAAGATAAATAGCACCTTTTAATACAGACTAAGAGTCTGATACGGTGGAGTTAGAAAATGAATAAAACTGCATCATACAGCTGTTTCGTCCTTTTGGGACTCGTCAGTGATGTTAAGAGACCTAGATTTTGAAGCCTAGGGGGCAACTGAGAAACATCCAATGTAATCGAAATAAAAGTCACAATCTAAATGGGGAAGGTGCATTAGCCCCATAATTCTATAAATTTCGTGATTTTCATTTATGTGATATTTTTCGAACATCATCAGGTGCATGTGTATATTCTGAATGAATTAAAACATGGCGTACTGGTTACGACAAAAAAGAAACGTGAACATTTAAAAAGTGTGATATGGACCATACCAAGGAACATCGGCTTTTAAGTAGAGAAATAGCTTTCATTTTTTACCGGAAAGTATCGCAGACTGAATTAAGTAAGGGCCACGTTGCGAAAAGCTTTCATCAAAATAGCAAATTTATCGCAGAGACAAAATTATAATTAATGAGTAACTATAACTATGGCGTTGACAATTGATTGATACAATAAGTTCCACAGAGTTCATCATCTGTCTCATGCTGTGAGCATTGTTTCACAAGAATTGGTATTAACCTAGTTGATTATGTGTTATGTTATTAATTTTTACTCGGTAATTGCCAATTCTTCACCGTGACCCCAAGTGATTTAAGTCGTCTATTGATTAGGTGGGGGTATCAAGAGGTCAACTACCTCAGGACGTCGGTTGATCAGTTGATCTGATCATGGTTTGTCTGGCAACATTGACATTTACACACCATATTAACACTAGTCTTGCGTGAACTAGTCTAGAAATGTCAATTCGATATTGTAGATTTAAGATAGCAGTAATGGCTGATACAATTGCGTTCTGTTTCTGTAAAACCCCATCGTTGTCCAAATTAAATACTAGATTATAAAATGAGATCGAATTGATGAGACTTACAGAGAGAAACTTACTAAGAGTCGCAAATAACCTTTACATATGATGACTAAAATTCAGCAATCCATATGAAATTTTGGCGCCTATTTTAATTAGGTTTTAAAGCAGTGATCTACAAAGTTCAGGTTTGGAAATACATATGATAGATATGGTCCAACAAATCAAATCAAACACAAAGAAAATAAGTCTTCTGGCATGCATTCTATTTCCTTTCAAAAGCAGCGGGTTTTTTTGCGGAGATTAGTTGTAATTAATTTTAATTAGCTTTTAAAGCAGATGTCTAGAAAGTTCAAATTTGGAAATATATACATGTATGACAAATTGCCCCTGGGTCTATTTTGTGGTCCAACTAATCAGATTTCACTTCAAATACAAGGAAAATAAGATTTCGGGCACATATTATATTTCAAATTTCAAATACAGCTTTTTGCGGGATTTAATTATGGTTTGATGATAAATCGTCTTTGATGAAAACGCTCTTTAAACAGAAACATCAAACGTATACGCTGTCCTTCTGTAATTCAGTTTTGTTTGTTCTTCCATGATTTTTTATTTGTTTTTATGTAAGGTCACGAAATGACTGTCAGTGCCTTGCAATACTATTACAAATTTTAGACAAATGAATAATTGAAAAGAATTGGGTCATGTCCTTTCACGCTTGACAAGAAAAGTAATCCTGATCACAGACCCAGGGGAGTATCAATGATAATCTCCTGATTACAGGTCCTCTCATATTTAACTAAACTTATGATGCTACTGAACAAGTGAAATCAAATACATAAATCTATATCCTGTTTGCTAATTAAGTTCGTTTGAGGTCCCTCCCAGTCTTTTTTCAACAGTTATTTTAAAACTGTCACATGTGGAAAGCGATAATAGCCACACATTAATCTTGATCAATCAGAACAAATCTTTGAACTCAACGCATAAAAGGTTGCAGAATTTACCGACGTCAGAAATCGGTTTTTTCGTGACTGAGGTGTTTACGAAGTAAACAACGGAGGGCAGATTGGCGGATAAGCAAATATCACCAAATTACCGCATGTATCACAGCTAGCGACCTTGGTGACCAGCGTGACTTTCTTGTAATATGACATCCAAAATCCACTTTATATTTCACTTATGATATATGTAGGAGATGTTGGTGTTCTTTGTGAACTGAAAGTCATTAATCTTAGGGCAGACTTCTTTTTTAATTTGTTTTTAAAAACCTTTCAATGTCATCAAAACGTTTATTTATTGATGATGATATAGATGTCCAGCTAAACTTTTCTACTCACCTATTATATAAAACAATATCTGGTAGCCATATTAGGTCACAGGGTATTCGAAAAATCTTTATGTGAGCAAATTCTGAAATATTTGTCCATTGTAGTTTCTCATCTACCCACTCCTGATCCAACCACACATTCGTTGTCAATATTTGGTTCTTCTCGTCCTGAAAGTGAAAGGACAGGAACATAACATCAAACAAACAGTTACATGCAAGGCAGACACATATGTAATCACCCGGGTTAAAATCACACTGGATGTAATCATATAGCTCATAGACACACAGCATGTAACCACACAGCTCATAGACACACAACATGTAACCACACAGCTCATAGACACACACCATGTAACCACATAACTCATAGACACACAACATGTAACCACATAACTCATAGACACACAACATGTAACCACACAGCTCATAGACACACAACATGTAACCACACAGCTCATAGACACACACCATGTAACCACATAACTCATAGACACACACCATGTAACCACACAGCTCATAGACACACAGCATGTAACCACACAGCTCATAGACAAACAATATGTAACCACACAGCTCATAGACACACAGCATGTAACCACACAGCTCATAGTCACACAGCCTGTAACCACATAACTCATAGACACACAACCTGTAACCACACAGCTCATAGTCACACAACATGTAACCACACAGCTCATAGACACACAACATGTAACCACACAGCTCATAGTCACACAACATGTAACCACACAGCTCATAGTCACAAAATATGTAACCACACAGCTCATAGACAAACAACATGTAACCACACAGCTCATAGACACACAACATGTAACCACATAACTCATAGACACACAACCTGTAACCACACAGCTCATAGACACACAATATGTAACCACACAGCTCATAGACACACAACATGTAACCACACAGCTCAGAGTCACACAGCATGTAACCACACAGTTCATAGACACACAACATGTAACCACATAACTCACAGACACACAACATGTAACAACATGTAAACAGCTCAGAGTCACACAGCATGTACATGTAACCACACAGCTCATAGACACACAACATGTAAATAGACAGCTCGAGTCACAAATTGTTGATAAGTTATATAAAATCGTACTAGTAAGTAGAGTAATAATGATCTTACATAATTACACTATACCGTAATAGGTAACATATTATCAGATAATTAGCTAGCGAGTATAACTAGTAAGTCATATGGGCCACAAAATGACGAGAAAGATCATTGCGAAGGACCATATACAGCTATTAAACAACTTAGTGGGACAAAGATAAAACCACATTGTAACTGATTTTGGTTGAATATTTGAAGATAATTTGAAAAGAGAACTAAGTACATATAACATTATAAAGCCGTGAAATACAGGTTCGGGGAAAGGAATGTCTACATATATTGAACTACCAATGACATATAGTGATATGTTCTCGTCCTTTTCTTTTCCATCTCTTACCGTTGCTTTACATATGTCGCTGTTTGAAACAATCCTGAAAACTAAGATAAGGGTGGTAAGAAATTACAGTTGTTTCCAATCTCCGTCGTGCTGTGTGAATTTTAATAAAATGTTTAAAAAATATCTTTCCTATTTATTATACATGGAGAATCGACCTACCACGTCCAGCACTTGAGTAAGTGTTATTCCCAGTCTGATTACAACCGGCGTTTGGGCGGAGAAGACAGGGCGTGAGGACCGATCGTACGATTTCATTATCCGGTACAATAGTCGCTGTTCTTCTGTCATGTCTTTCTCCGGTATGTTTTTCGGATCGAATATACCCCGTCCGTCTCGATCTGAAACAAAGACATGTTCTAGTTCTCACGATTTCACACATAAACATTATTTATATCACTGATTAGAAACATACGCATGTCACAAGAACACAATATATTCCAATGGGTCTGATAGGTATAGTGGTTTCCATAATATGTGTATAATGTTTAAAATATGTAAATGTACTTTTGAAAATAGTAAAAATCACAACATTTATCTTATGGCCTGGACACTTCCCAATTTAAATTTTGACATTCTTTCGATCATTTTTTATTTCCTTCAGTCATCTCATAGGTTTCAAAATTTAGGTCTGTACCTGACGAGTCCAAGAAAGACGAAACAGCTTTATGCTGCAGATAAATCCATTTATTGTATGTGTTGTATCTGATTCTCAATTTGTACTTCAAGGCGCTTTTCACCCTTGTTTTTTTATTTTTACAATCTTTTAAAGTACGACATAATTTTTACAAGCCTAAACACGATCATAAACCCGGTCTAGTCACACCGTTCTCAAGCCTAACCACGATCATAAACCCGGTCTAGTCACACCGTTTTCAAACCTAACCACGATCATAAACCCGGTCTAGTCACACCGTTCTCAAGCCTAACCACGATCATAAACCCGGTCTAGTCACACCGTTTTCAAACCTAACCACGATCATAAACCCGGTCTAGTCACACCGTTCTCAAGCCTAACCACGATCATAAACCTGGTCTAGTCACACCGTTCTCAAGCCTAACCACGATCATAAACCCGGTCTAGTCACACCGTTCTCAAGCCTAACCACGATCATAAACCCGGTCTAGTCACACCGTTCTCAAGCCTAACCACGATCATAAACCCGGTCTAGTCACACCGTTCTCAAGCCTAACCACGATCATAAACCCGGTCTAGTCACACCGTTCTCAAGCCTAACCACGATCATAAACACGGTCTAGTCACACCGTTCTCAAACCTAACCACGATCATAAACCCGGTCTAGTCACACCGTTCTAAAGCCTAACCACGATCATAAACCCGATCTAGTCATATTGTTCTCAAGATTATACTAAATTATGAACAAATTCTAGACGTAACGATCTGATGAACATTGTTCAAATAATATTTAAAATATCAAAGTTCCTGAAAGGGTAGATATTCAGAGTAACTGCGCTGCATTTCAACCATCGCCACATAAGGTTTTTTGTCAAAATGTTCCTCTTCTCCGCCAGAAAATGAAGTCGTGAATTAACAGCAAATTCACATCATAACAGCAAACTATTTTAGATTTGTAATCTGCTGAATGATTAGTCACGTCAATCACTTGTAACATTCTATCGAAAAACATCTCTTACGGTGATGACTAATGAGTAGCTAATTAGTAACACTCCGCCCTACCACGATGGTATTTAAGGCTCTCCACCGATAGTTTCTGATGACAAGTCCGTTGTCCCTATTGAAAGTAAAGTCATTCCTGAACCAATTAGCTTTAATGATACAGAAATTAACAAGTAAGAGTTCCCTTAAACTCAGAAACATATAACTCATAATTCCAACGTTAGAAATGTTATCAGGAAAGATTTATATATCAGTGTTTGACTACTGGTTCTTATCTGAAATAATTTTGACCATACAGAAAGCGAACGCTGTCTTATGAAACGATTGACAGAGGAAATTTGGCACGTGGTCAAACTTCGGCGTGGCGTTTGGGCATCGCTAATCCGTGTCTGTTAATATGTTTACAACAAGTATTATCAGTCTGGAAATTACATCCATTATGGTTCCTTAAGGTAACTCAAAACCTCTGTAGATTCTATCTGGCCATGTGGAATGCAATACAGTCAGGGAGTTTGGTGTACACGAAATTGAATAGTTTTATCTTTGTTTTCAGTCTTGCTCAAAGCATCTTTTGTTTTTATATTTTTGTTCACTAGTTTGATAAATGTGACCGTTTTATAGACACAAAACACGCTTAGTTGAAATTTTATATCCTTCAGAACCCCACAAGTATTTTACTTATGGATTTCGATTTCGTGGTAGTCTTGCTTTCATATAGAATATATGAATTCCATTACTGGTTTGTGAGAAAACACGGAGAGCCATTAGAGTCTTGCCATTAGTGTTGTTGTCCCATATATACTTATCCAAATAGACTGCGACAAAATGTACTTTCCATATTTCCTTCGAACTCTTTCCATTAACGGGTTTGTTTGACTCGCCTAGTTTGGTACAAATCAACTCTCCAAATCTGCATGGCCGGTCTCATTTCTTGTTCTGAGAACTCGTAGTATTATACGTTGTACACAACCCAACGGATAACTGTCAAACGATATTTGTTTGTTTAGATAGGATGAAAACAACGTCATTAGTTTGGTATGGTGTGTTATTGCTTTACGTCCAATTAACAGCCAGGGTCATTTAAGGACGTGACAGGTTTGGTTGGTGGAGGAAAAAAACCCCGACATAATAGACCTCAAGCCCGGACCCATGAGGTGGAAGGCTAGTGATAAAGGCGCCTAGAGTCTACCACGGCCCCGTGTGTCATTAGTAAAGTGATAAATCATGATATGGTCGCTTCAGTGACAAAGGAACTAGATTTTTGAAATGCAAGAATCGTTAGGTGCATATATTGCGTCCTGTTGGGAATAAAAATGGGAAAAAGTAGTATGTATACCTATATTCATTTGTAACTTTAATAACATGTTTTGATAATGCTTAGATTCATATTCCGAAATGGCTTGAATGGATCGTGCAGATATTCGCCAGTCAGGTATATGGTATCGCACAACTAACGATATTGAATATGAGAAACAATCGTAATCACGACCATTTACAAGTATTTTCCTGGAGACAGAATTAAAATCGCCAGAAGAAATTTGTATATCTTTCTAGTTTTCAGTTTCAATATAAGAAATGTTTTTTAAAACTGATAGAATCAAGATAATAATTCAAGCACAGTGTCCTAAATGATGGCCATAAAGAGAGGTTTTGTTTTAATGGTTCGATCGTCCCGTGGACAGTAAGAATCATTACGGAAAGTGACTTTGTCGGACTGTGTTCAATGTTAAAATACTGTAACCGTCAAAAAAGTATTCCACAGACTTGGAATAAACATTCCTGTTTAGATTGAAAGTGGCATAAACCATTATGTTTGTTGATTTTTGGGGTATTTTTTTTCTTCTTTTTTTTTTGTGTTTTTTTTTTTATTTTGTTTGTTTTTTTTTTTTTTTTTTTTTTTTCTGCTTTTTTTTTTTTTTTTTTTTTTTATTGTTTTTTTTTTTTTTTTTTGTTTGTTTATCTTTTGGGTTTTTTTTCTTTTTTTTTTTTGTTTGTCTTTTGGGTTTTTTTTTTTTTTTTTGCTTTTTTTTACTTCTACGAAAAAATAACAAAAGTAGATAACAGAAACAAAAGCAAAGTACCTGCGTAAATTGTTGGGGAACACATTCATGGATTAATTACGCACGGATTTATGCAAAAAAAATGAACTTTGATTTAGAGAAATCTGCCTTGGTGACCCCGAATGAAACAAAATACATTCAAAGTTTTGACACTTAAACAAGTAAGCAGATATCAAAAGCAATTGTGATAGCTTTACTAGAATTTATTTGAATGCTTTGCGTTAGAGTATCATAGATATAGATATAGGTTATAGATAGATATACAACACCCCAGATTTACCGAACGCTCAGAACGTGATATCTGTAATGTCCAATTGGCATGTTTCGTCCCGACAACACCACGGATTGACCTAAGGCTCAGAACATGATATCTGTCATGTCCAATTGGCATGTTTCGTCCCGACAACACCACGGATTGATCGCAGATCAAGAACATGATATCTGTCATGTCTAATAGGCATGTTTCGTCCTCACAACACCACGGATTGACCGAAGGCTCAGAACATGATATCTGTAATGTCCAATTGGCATGTTTCGTCCTCACAACACCACGGATTGACCGAAGGCTCAGAACATGATATCTGTCATGTCCAATTGGCATGTTTCGTCCTCACAACACCACGGATTGACCGAAGGCTCAGAACATGATATCTGTCATGTCCAATTGGCATGTTTCGTCCTCACAACATCACGGATTGACCGAAGGCTCAGAACATGATATCTGTAATGTCCAATTGGCATGTTTCGTCCTCACAACACCACGGATTGATCGCAGGTCCAGAACATGATATCTTTAATGTCTAATTGGCATGTTTTGTCCCGACAATACCACAGATTGACCGAAGGCTCAGAACATATCTGTCATGTCCAATTGGCATGTTTCGTCCTCACAACACCACGGATTGACCGAAGGCTCAGAACATGATATCTGTCATGTCCAATTGGCATGTTTCGTTCTCACAACACCACGGATTGACCGAAGGCTCAGAACATGATATCTGTAATGTCCAATTGACATGTTTCGTCCCGACAATATCACGGATTGACCGCAGGTCCAGAACATAATATCTGTAATGTCCAATTATAAGAACTATATATGCCACCATTAGCGGTATTTGTACTCTTGATATAAACAAGATTACAGTGTGATCCCGTCAACAAAAACTGCAATAAACTGCCTAAATACGAAAACATAATGTGGTCAAAGACGAGGTAACGAAAAGGGTTCTTTTTATGGTCATAGTATAGGACCATGACCTTAGACCAAGATGCAAATCTTATTGATTTTGGTGTTAGCTAGTTTCAGGATCACCTCAGAAATAATCTAGATGTGTGTCGAAATCTTGCGGATAATTAGTCTCCGAGACTTCTATACTAAACTGTCAGATCGTTAATTCCTTCATCTGTTCTAGACACCTGAAGATGTCTTGTTGATCGAACGGCCTTGATGACTGTAAGGCGGTATTATTGCGTTTTGCAATAATTTGTGGGATTTAATCTAACTTTTACATTTGTGACGCCAAAAAGCCTTCAACGTTTGGAAAAAAATACCACAATGCCATATTGATGTTTTTATTATTATTTTGTCTCCG